GCATCACTGTGTCAGTTCTTGTTGAGGATCTTCTCTTTTCTGACCCTCCACCTTTACCAGCATGATGTCTTTTTCCATGAAGTGGACCCACCTCACAACATTTCCAGTGTATTTGGGGCAAAGTTTCTCCGTCCTTATCTCTAAGGATCACACTGGTTCCACTGTATGTAAGACTTGTTCTTTGGGCATTTGATGGCATATTCAGTTCTCTTCGGTAACACCACAACTCAAAGATGATTTTTCTGTTCTATTTATTCATTGCCCAATTTTCAAATACGTAGCAAGTAATTGAAAAACGTGGCTTGGATCAGGTGCACTTTAAATTTACATTGTTGCCCTTCAGCACTTTGGAGAAACCCTTGACAGCAGGTTTGCCCAGTGCAACACATCTTTTATTACTTGATTGCTGTTACTGTAAGTGTTGATTGTGGATCCAAGAAAATGAAATCATTAACAACTGTGTTTTGTTTTTTTCTAACCTTCCTCTATTAGGATGTTTCCTGTTGATCTAATGGTGGGGAGTTTTGTTTGCTTGATATTGAGATATAATCTATATTGAAGGCTGTAGTCCTTACTCTTCAAGAGCAAGTGCTTCAAAATTTTCTTCATTTTTGGCCAAAAAAGGTTGCATCATTTGCATAACATAGATTATTGATGATAGCACATTGTATAAAATTACTCCTTATGCCATAATGATATCCTTTTTTAAAAGAGGAATAGTGGAAAATAAAACTAATAGATAACAACATAGCAGGATTGATGGGGGTATCACAGTTTTAGTATCCACAGAGTCATAGTTCAGGCAAGGGTTATTACTGGTTGATGACACCATTGGGTATATTTGTTAAAGAACAAAATGTCCGCACTTTCTCACAAATATTACACAGATTACTTATTAGTTACAAGTTTTCTATATGAGCAATAGAGAAATTGCAGAATCTTTAACCAAGTGCTCGTGCTTTATCATCATTGACATCAGTAGAAATGCCGTAGAAAAACCACAACAGAATTATGGAGGGAGCTCTGGTGGCCTAGTGGTAAGAAGCTACACTGTAAATCCCAGAGGTGTGTGGTTCGAATCCACCAGATGCTCTGCTGGTGAAGGAGGGACAATTTCCTTCTGTACCAGTCAGATGCAATTTGATGGTACATACACAAAATAATAATAATAATAATAATAATAATATAATAATTTAAAAAATAAAAAGAATTATGGGACCAGGAGAGTACAGTTCAGGTATGGGAGTTAAGAACAATGGAAAACCAGGCACAATCTTAATGTTCTCATGCTTATTTTTTTAATTTATTTATTAATTTTAATGAAAATTTACAGAGACACATTGTTGCACTTTTCTCCCTGTCTCCCCCAAATCACTCCTCTCCTTGAAAAGAAAAACTTTCTTTGTTATGCAATCGCTCCCCCACCAAGTCCATCCCACTATGCAGCCTTCACTCTGGACTTCTGTAATGACAATAATACCCTTTCATATATCCCTTTTAATGTTCTCATTCTTAAACTCAACTCATTGCTGTTGAATCAGAACCTACTGAGATTCGAGTCTCTACCAACTTTTCAGCGCCTGTAACTTGCATGGGGGCACCTCCCACAGAGCAACTGGTGGATTAAAACAGTGTGCCTTTGGGTTAGCATTGCAACTCTTTACCCCTGTGCCATCAGAGAATAATGATGAGTTTAATGTTGTGCTGCGTGCTTGAGGAAATAGTTTTGGATATGCTAAAGTATCCATTGAGCTTTCAGGAGGGGACTGTGAATGTTTTGTTAGAGCTATTGAGTCCATGGCAGGATTAATATTCTTTAGTCTACTTTTGTAGGGCACATAAGTTCATGTTTGTTAAATGTTTTCAGTTACAGCTTGCTTCAAAATAATTGCTGGAATAGTTAGGTGTAATATTTTTTATGGTAAAGAATATTTTATCCATAAATGGTAGATTTATGAGTGAGAAGAAAAAGGATATGCATTCAAGATTGGTATAGTTGAACTGACAGCATTATGGAGTTAAAATTTAAACCTGCCTGCTTGAACTCCTGATATATAATTTTAAAATTCTACAACCCGGGAGCTTTTCCCAAGGTGTATATCATTTTTATTCTTCCTACTGAAGAGGAAAGAAAAGTATCCTTAATGGTCTTAAAATTGTGTGCATGCAGGTGTAGGTGTGTATTTTGTCATGCAGTGGAAAAATGTGTAGCATTTAAAATATAGATATGATAAACATTACAATGCAAAAATGTGCCTCTAAAAAAAAAGAATTACTACTTCCTAAAGTGATTCCTTGATAATACATAGTCATAAATATGAAAGATAGCAAGAGACCTGCTAGATCTCAGCAGGGTTGTTCCTGGCAAAGTGTATTTTATTATTCGCTTGTGTTGCCTTGAATTATTTGCTGTTTTACTGTTGGTAGAGAAATAGAGAAAGGAATTGTGCTTTGAAGAAGTTGAGAGAGGAAGTGCAGAAGAGAAGAAAAAAAAAAAACCACACCAAAACCCAACCAACCTCAAACGACCAAATGACAGTTTAGATCAATCTTAATTTTTCACAGTTTTGACCTTCTCTAAAGTCACATTTAACAGAAACATTAATTAGATTTCAGTATCCCACTGAGTTTTAAAATGAAATGTATTTCTGGAACCATCTGTAACATTTTATCACTAATAGTATAATGAAGAATATGTTTAGTCTTTTGAAAAAAGAATTATAACAATATCTTTTATTCACAAATGATTATCTTTTACTGTGAAAAATCTGTCAAAGTTTTTAAGAATTCAGTGACTTAAAATGACATGATTTTTTTTTTCTGAGAAACTTTATCCACATTCAGAATTTTCTTTGAGATTCAGGTTTCTTTTAGAGCTGATAGATGCCCTGTGCCAACACAGAGTCTGAGTTAGGACAGTGGTGGTTAAGAGCACAGTCCCTGGAGCCAGTCTGCCTGGATTTGAATTTTTCTTCTATTGCTTACTAGGGTTGTGGTTTTGCTATTATATGCTGTCCAATCACCTGCGACCCATAGCAACCCTATGTACAGCAGTTCTGAAGCCTGCCCTGTCTTGAGCCAGTCTCACTGACTCTGACACACCTACTCCCCACCCCCATTACCCTAGTTACTGTGTCAGTCCATCTCATCAGGGCTCTTCCTCTCCTGCACTGTCACTCCACCTTTCCAAGCATCATCTCCTTCTCCAAGGATTAGTCCCTCCTGGCCACATGCCCAAAGTATGTGAGATGGAGCTTCATAATCCTAGCCTCCAAGGAGAAACTTGGTTTCACTATTTGTTTTCTTGGCAATGATGGTATAGTCAAGACTCTTATCCAGTACCACAACTCGAAGGCATCAATTCTTTTTCTGTCATTCTTAATCGTTATTTAGCTCTGCATGGTAAGTAATTGCAAAGACCATGACCTAGATTAGGTGCACCTTAATCTATAGACTGACATAATTTCGTTTCAGTACTCTAGACAGCAGACCTGAGTGCTTACAGAAAAATATCCCTCTTTTTGGAAACCAACAAAATGGGGAAGAAATATTTTCCATGCCACTTCCACTAAGTAGATAAAGCTTGCAGCAAATCTCTGTTTACTGTGAAATGCAAGGCCTTGCTCTCGCTTTAAAACTCTTGGAATTAATGTTATCCTGTGGGTGCTGACTTAGATATAGACAGACAGACATAGAGAATGAATACCTTTTCCCACATCACCCTTGATAAAAATCCTAATTGTTCAAGTCTTCATTTAAGGTTCATCATCTCAGAAGTCCTGGATTGATTTGGCTGGGCTGTTCCTTTCATCATGACCTCACTGTTAACCTTTCCATCTCTGTCATGGCATTGGCCACATCATTGTGAATTTCCTTGTTACTTGCTCTTTGCAGACTGTGTGCTTCTTGGAAACAGCAACTATTACTCATTTCTTAACATCTTTTCATTAGCATATTTACCATATTTGTGACATATTAATCATCAAATAAATAAGTGGAAAAATGAAGAATAACATGAAGTGTTTTCTTCTAAAATCCATCTTCATGGAAACATTAGAATGCTAGAGTTTAGTAAAATGTGAGAGAAAAAGAAGAGAATTTTGAAATGGTTTGGTATTTGCTTCATAAATAATATTTTAAGATATTTTAGGATTTACTTAAAGTTTTTAGGATGCACAAGGTGTAAAGTGTTGGAAATGCTAAGCAGTCTTTTTCCTTGTTCTTTATACCTGTCCCCGTGGAGTATTTATGTATCATAACTTTAACTATGATAATATTAATGATACACTTTTAATATTCACATACTAGTATTGCTGTTGAGCCAGAATCGTCTAATAGCTGAGTCTCCAGTAACTTTTCAGAGGCTGTAATCACATGGGAGTAAATTGCCCATCTTTCTCCTGGTGAACATAAACTATGTGCCTTTGAGTTGGCAGCTTGACTTCTTACCACTATCAGAGCTTCCTAATATTATCCACCTTTAAATAGTTAAATTGGACATTTGCTGTGCAATTTATTATCAATGTTTTCACATTCTCACTGCCTTTTTGTTAGTTCTGACACAAGAGTAACCCTCTGTCGGGTTTTCAAGACTGTAAATCACAGTGGGAAGACACTGCCCATCTTTTCCTTTGGAGCTTTTGATGGATTTGAACTTCCCAAGATGTGTGGCTTTTGGAATAGCAGTGAAACACACTATGGACTGCACCAACAGAGTTCCCTAATATTTTCAGTGGCATTTTCCCCAAAAGTTGTGTTATTATGATGTGTGTAGTTGGAACTGACTCATAGCCAACTCTCAAGTAGGTTTTCATAGGCATCAGATTACCATTACCCATTATTCTCCTGTGGAACAGCTGGTGGATTTGAGCCATGTACCTTTGGGTTGGCGGTGGGAGTTCCTTACCACTAGGCTACTAGTGCTCCCCTCAGAAATAAAGGGAATTTATAAATAAATACACCTCTAATAAATATAACAATGAATTTTAATTTTATTTTAGCAAAAACACCTGGAAATTGAAAGAACTACTAAGTGGCTGAAAATGCTGAAAGGATGGGAAAAATACAAGAACACTGAAAAGGTAATTTAAAATTATATTATTTCCACATGAATCTATATAAGTTTAATATAGGTTTTCCTTATTAACCATTTATTGTTAATTATAAAAAAATAAGAATATTTTATTTTAGTTTAACAGAATAAGTAGCAGTCTTCATGTTATGTGCTGTCGAGTCAGACTCATAACTGACGCTCTGGTGGGTTTTCAGAGGCGGTAAATCACATTGGAGGAGATTGTTCATCTTTCTCCTGCAGAGTTGATGTTAGGTATGAACTGTGTGCCTTGGGAGTAAGCACAGATTTTAACCACAGAAAACTTATTTTAAATTGATGTCAGCAGTAGGAGGATCTATTGGATGGTCCAGAGGTGGGGTAGACTTCAGGAGAGATTTAATTCAACAGCTCTATCATTTTTACTATAACTTCGATTCTTTCCAGCTCTCTAAGTGTCAAGTTAGTTGGCTTCCCTTTTAGATAAAAATGTTAATAACAGTTATGAGCTTTATATACAGATGTCACATAATCTAGAAAGAGAGCAAGGGCTGGCTCTGAGAGCTTCCCTGAAGCAAGTTTGTAGCTAAGTTTTAAACCAGTTTCTGTCTGTGGACAAGTGTATACACACACACACACACATACCCTATCCCCATAACCCCCATCCCCATCCCCAGTCTTATCAGGAATATCTTTAAATTTTAGGAAGCAGTTTTCAAAACCTTTAAATTTGCTTGAAAGGTCAAAGGTTATCAGTGATATCAAAGACTCAGTTGTTTACTTTCAGATGACAAGCTCACTTGTCATTCACTTCTGACAGATACCTAAGTCAGGATAAAATATAACTTGTTACTCAGTCTTAGTTTCAAGAAATAGCAATGTGTCATGAGATAAATGAAGTTAGTTCAGATTACAATTCAAACCATACTTTAGAAGATACCCTAATTATTCCAGATATGCCCATTTCATCACTCAGACTGTTAATAAGGTTTGTATCCAAGTACTGACCCTTAGTAAAAGTAATCATTTTGACTACTTCATTAAGGTTACTCTTAAATGAAACTAGTCTTGAGTTTTTTAACTGTGAGTGAAGGATACTATGACTACTAGTACAGTATTGTTTCTATTTTAATTTGTATCCAGGTGTCCTTAGTTTTACCACTATCAGTGTAAAAGTTGTCAGTGAAAAATAGAGGTAATATTTTAGCTTTATTATGGAAATAGTTTTGACCTAATGGACCGTACTTCGAAAACCGCTGACATCTAAACTTCAATTTCCTCATGTGTGAATTAGAGATAATAGTACTGTTTCAAAGGGATAAAAATGTAATGCGTAAGGTAAACAACCCAATAGCAAAGTGGGCACAGGATATGACTAGATACTTCACCAAAGAAAACTTTTAGATGGCAAACAAACACATGAAGAAATGTTCAGAATCATTAGCTATCAGAGAGATGCACCTAAAAACAACCATGAGGTATCATTTCACTCCACCAACAATAGCAGAGTACAGTAGAGCTGCAAACAACAAATGCTGGCAAGATTGTGGAGAGATTGTAACTTTTATTCGGTTTGTGGAAGTGTAAAATGGTACAACCCAGGGAAGGCAGTTTGGTGCTTTCTCAAAAAGTTGGAAATAGAAATACCATTTGACCCAGCAATGCCACTGCTGGGAAAATACCCTAAAGAAACCATAACCACCATCCAGACATATATATATATATGTACACCCATTGCTGCGTTATTTACAATAGCAAAGAGATGGAAGCAACCCAAGTGCCCATCAACAAATGAATGGATAGAAAAAACTATGGTTTATTCATATAATAAAATACTATGCAGCACTGAAAAGCAGTTAAGTCAGAAAACATTACACAACATGGGTGATCCTGAAGGACATGGAGAGTGAAATATTTCAGTCACAAAAGGACAAAAACTACATTAACACCACTCTTATAAAGCAGGTCTTACATGGAGGTGTTGGGATAGATAATGAACATTGCATTGAAACAGTTGAAGGACAGAACTGTTTAAAAGGAATATATGATTAGGCATTTTATGTATGACAACAGCTTCAGAATAAGAGGTATATCATTCCGAAAAGGACTGAGGGGGAAGGGAGAGATAGGTAATTGTGCTTCAATGAATGAATATTCTTTTAAAAATTGAACTGAGGGAGGAGGAAGGGAGGAAGAAGGTAACATGTGCAAGAAAGAATGAATGAAAACATAACTTTTCTGTAAACTTTTGTTAAAATGACAATGAAATTAAAAAAATCTTATATAAAAAAAGATGTAATTCATACACAGCACTTATCCTTGTACCTTACATATGGTAACCATTCAGTAAATGTTAACTATTACTATTCTGTTTTTTAAGGAAGATTGGGCAATATAAAAATTTTAAGGGAGAAAAAAATATAAACCTACAGAACAGAGCAAGGGAACACTGCATGGTTCAAAATTGGGAAGGGTGTGCGCCAAGGATTTGTCCTATCTCTATACCTTTTCAATCTATATGAAGAATAGATTATCCAGGAGGCTGGGCTCTATGAGGAGAAATGTGGCATCAGGACTGGAGGTAGACTTATCAACAGTCTGCATGTGCCGATGACACAACCCTGCTTGCTGAAACTGAGGAGGACCTGAAGTGCTTGCTGTAGAGGATCAAGGACTGCAGCCTTCAATATGGATTGAGGCTCAACATCAAGAAACAAAGATTCTCTCCACTGGGCCAATTGGCAACGTTGTGATGAATGGTGAAGAGATTGAGACTGTAAACAGCTTTAGTTTGCTTGGCTCCACAATCAACACTCCTGACCCCAACAGCCAGGAAATTAAAAGACATATTGTGCTGGGAGAGTCTGCTGTCAGAGACCTTTCCATAGTACTGAAGAGCAATGAAGTCACTCTGGAGACCAATACAGATACAATACAGGCCATGGTCTTTACAATCATTTGCTATGCATCAGAAAGCTGGGGAGGATAGAAGGAGCATGGATGCCTCTGAGCTATGCTGCTGGAGAAGAGTATTGAATATACCATGGACTGCTAAGAGAATGCAGATTTGTCCTAGAGAGGGCTACTCCTTGGAGGCAAGCATTGCAAAGCTTCGTCTGACATACTTTGGCATGTTGTAAGAAGGGACTGGTCCTTAGAGAGAGACATCATGCTTGGAAGAGTGGAGGAACAGCGCAGGAGAGGAAGACCCTCAATGAGATGGATTAATTCAGTGACTGGGGTAATAGGGGTAGGAATGTCAGAGACAGTAAGATTGGCACAGGATAGAGCAGGATTTAGGGCTGTTATACATAGGGTCACTATGAGTCACAGGCGACTCGACGACACATAAAAACACAACCAGCAAAACATAGTGGAGTATAACTGTTAAAATTTTTATCTTTCCCCATTTTTTTCTTTGTAATCTTTATTCCTCTTTTTCTGTATAGAAATAAATTATCAGTCAGTGTTTGCCAACAAGAATTTCAAGGAACACCTATTCTTTATATTTTAGAGGAAGACTCCCAACAAGGTGGACTGACGCAATGACTATTAACAATGGACTCAGACATATCAGAGATGCTGAGAATGGCACAGGGCAGGGCCAAATCCTGATGTTTTGTTGATAGCATCACTGGGTGTGACTATGTAGTCATAGTAGTGACTATGACTTTGTTACACCTGGTAACAAATACCAACACTTTATAGTGTAATGGTTAAGAGACAGCTCTTGGAGCCAGACTTTGCAAGAGTCAAACCCAAGCTCTACTAAATCCTAGCTGTATGACTTTTAAGAAAAGCAGTTGATTTTATTGTGCTTAGTTTGCTTTCTGTATTAAAAAAGGAAGAGAGAGGAAAGTTAACAGAAGTGCCTACCTCAGAGCAAAACCTCAGTTCCACTCATTGTGATGCTCCATCAAATTTCCAAGCCCCTAAGTTGTTTATAGGAGACTGTTCCTCTTTCTCCTTCTGAAGAACTAGTGGATTTGAATTGCTGACCTAATATTTTATACACTGATGTCATGACATTCAGGAAGCTGTTAGTAAGAATTACTTATTACTACATGAGAAAAGGATTCTTTGAATTAACTTGAGAAAAGTCAAACTTAAAAAGACTGTTTTATTCCTCAGGGTCTTCAATGTGATAGTATTTGTGGTGACTTTTTTACAAGTAGTCTTAAAAACACATTAAACTTATCATGAAAATATTTTTTGTTGTGAAGTATCTCAGAGGACTAATGTAGTATGTGGGCTTTGGTGGTTTATTTTTTATTTGTTTTTTTTTAGCAGCTTTGCTGTCCTTACTTTAAAAGCTTATAAACTTTGAAAACTCTTACTACTGTATTTTCATCATGTATAAATTAATTTTGGTTTTGTTCTTATTTATATTGTATTATAGTTATGTCTATTTAAACATTAGTTCTAAAATTCTTAAAATGTTTTTAAGAAGAATCCATTTAAAGTAGAATTCTAGTTATACCATCAGTGCTGTCCTCTCAGTTGGCCTAAATATAATGCTGTCCTCTCAATTGGCCTAAAGTTGACAACTTCTTTACCTTCTAACTTTGTAGAAAGATTGTTCAAATGGTAATTGTAGGATAAATGTCCATGTCTTGTTCCTGCCTTTAATTTCACATTCAGTCTAATAAAATGTTTGTAGAATTCTGACTTTATGTTCTTTTCTAGTATTCATATATCTGTGCAAGTATGTAAGCCTCAGTAAAAATGATCAATTCTTCTAGGCTATTTTGCTGACAGCAACTCCAACTAATGCAGTTCCCATTGAGAGAGATTTTAACAGAACTATTTCTTCGATAGGTAATTTTAAAGCACTATCCCACAACTATAATGCTAGAATCATTTGATGTTATATATGGTCCTATTTGTGTGAATGCACCTTCCAAAAGAATTACTGCTTTCAAGTCATATCTATTTTTAAATTGTACTGAATTTTTTAAATGGCATATATTTTTTTCTTCCGTATGAGAGGTGTGTTTTCTCTCCACAGCTTCCTTACTTACCTAATAATAA